ATTATTATTCTCTACTTTCATCTCAAAATATGCTGGCAACGACGACAACGACAACGACAACGACGAAGATCATGGCTATCCAAGACGACAAGCAAGATAGAGAAGGAGAAAGAGAGAGAGTGAGAAGGATAGAGAGAGAGAAAGAGATTGTTCCTTCAATCCACCACCTTTATCCAAAAATAACCTTTTTTCATTTCCTTACCCTCTATTCTTCAGATTTGAAAGACTGAGAGAGAGATTGAGAAATTGAAAGAGGTCGGTTGATTAGTCGAGAGAAAATGCTTTTCACCGTACTTTGACTCTGTCTCCCGCTACCAACAAACCAATCCTGTTATGAATTTGATCATTTTCAGATAAATCATGACCAGTGCCTTTTTTGTCCATATAATTTGATGTTAATCATCGATGTCAAAACTTCAAAACCGACCTTCTGACATCTGATGATAGAGTGACGATGTCGATCTTCAGTTCCTGTACGAAGTATCGGTTGAATGAATGACCGTGACGGCCCACAATATGTTAATGTGATTAATCATTTTACAAATATATATAATAAAAAAAAATTGATAATTCTTCATTTAATACTGTTACAGAAAAACATTTTAAGTTTTTCATTTTTCTTCGCCAACAAGCAAGGTGACGGCAATGTCGTTGTCATGATCGTCATCTCCTTTTGTTCGACCGCCGTCATCAGTGTGAGACGATGGTGAAGGATAGTCGCCGTCCAAATTTCAAAAGTCAATGAAGATCAAGAACGTTTTATATTGCATATTTCATTGTAGAGAGACGAAAGCAAAAAATAATAATAACAATTAATATCAAAAAGGAGAAAAAAAGAAAAACAAATTGGAATCATTATGTTCATGATGAAGCTTATAGAGAGATGGCTTCACGTGTTTCCATCTCTCTCTCTTTGCTCTATTGCGCTTGTGCTTGCTGCTATCGTTTCAGAGATTATAGATGAACTTTCAGATATTACTTCTAGTTGTTCCGTCCGCTCTTCGACTTCTTCTTCTTCTATCTATCAGAATACATAATGAACATGAGAATTTCATATTGGTTCTACAATGTTGCAAACTCGTGGTGAACTTTTTAATCTTTTTTTTCCCTTCGTTGCACCTTTGGAGCTGCGCAGAACGGCAGTCTCTGTCCTTGTGAAACTTTTTTGACAAACATGTTTACATGGAGTGCAAGTCCTTTTCTCTACACAGTTCTATTCACATGTTATCATTTCTCTCGCATTTTCTATTACTTCTCTATCTCTCTAACATTATCATTCTCTCTCATACTCTCTCTCCACATCTATTATACTATCTATATGTCATATAAATTTCTCTATATAAATCTTTTACTCTTCTTCATCTTTCAACACCTTCAAATATTTTATTTTGTCTTTTGTACTTTTGCCCTTTGACTTTTTTGTTCTTTTCATTCTTCACGAACTTCTGAAGAATCGCTCATCTCGATCTCACCACCTCCCCCCCCTCTCTACTGTCATCATCATCATCGCTTCTACCTAGACAGTCTGCTCCTCCCACTTTCTTCCATCTCTCTCTCTCTCTCTATTTTTCTCTCTTCGCTCTTCATCATCCCTCCCACCGATTCCACCTCTTTTCTTCCGCCCTTATAAGCTTTTGCCCATCGCATGCATTTGGTCAGCACAAGTCTGTTTTTACTCAAAAACCAAACTAATCACGTGAATTTCATTTGCAAAACAGATTCATTTGATGTTTTTCGGATCACGAGGTTGTTTTTGCGTTATCTCCGCCTTTTCCATATCCTATTCTTCTCTCCTGCCCATCACTTTTCTTCGCAAATCCATTTCTGTATTCTCATTCAGTATTCATTTCAACCTTTGACCATGGCATTTTCTTCTTTTCTCGCATTTTTTCTTCATTTCTCTCTTCCACCACCCCTTCCAACTGTTTGCCATTATTCTTTCGCTCCCTTTCGTCAGTCATGATGGTCAAGCTGAAGGAAGCTGTGTGTGAGTCAGAATGCCGAATGTTTGTAAACAAAATGATCTTTTTTGTGTCTCTGTAATTGAATCTAAAACATTTTTTGGCTTAAAATCAACTCATCCTCCTCTCTTCCTTTTGTGTGATTTCCTTGAAGAGAAGGGTGTTTGGTCCCTTGCAACTAACCACCTCTCTCTCTCTCTCTCTTTATCTCACTTTCTTACTTTCTCCATATTACTCTCTTCATCTCTTTATCTTTCTCTCTCTTTCATTCTCTCATCTAACTCATCAAAGATTTTTCAACAAATAGTTTTTCTTCTCTTTTCAATTGAAAAATCTGATTAAGTCTGACAGATACCTGCAACAAGCAAAAACCAATTTTGATGTCGTCGAGAACAAAATCGTGTGACCAAGGCCTCTGCCCTCACTTTTCTCCTGTCAACACAGCATAGACAAGCAGTAAATCAGAGAGAGCATAAGAGAAGCAGAAAGAGAGAGAAAGAGTTGATTAAAAGAGGAAGTCAGATGTCCTCCAGCCAATAATTCAGTTGAAAATACGCATCGTTGGCAACTTTTAGTAGAAAACAGTTAATTTTTTCATCCCCATTCCCTCGTTCTCTTATACTCTCTCTTTCAATCCAAACCAGCCTTCTTCACTCTCTCTCTCTCTCTCACCCCTCCCCCCCCCTTCTACTCTCAATGCTATCATTGTCAATCAAGAGATTTTCTGCAAATTTTTGCATTTGTCTCATCCATTTTTCTTGTTTTTTCATTCAATTCTCGTATTTTCGTGTAATATTTTCATCTTTTTTTTTTGTTTTATTTCAATCTGCTCTGGGTCAAAGAAAGTACAAACTGAAGACAACAACTAGTTGGAAGAAAAAAGATTGAAGAGCGAGCAAAGTAGTTGAAATGATGAGAGAGAGTATAGATAACGAGAGAAGGAGAGAATAACACAGAGAAAGCATGAAAGCATCCAGATGAAAGTATACAAGGAGCCATAGAGCACAAGATAGAGTAATAAAGAGAGAGAGAGAGAGATAGAGATAGAGAGAAAGAAGGAAGGGATTGAGTGAAACAGTTGAATACACAAGTGCATTGGCAGGTAAAAAAACCGATACGGCTAATGTAGGGAAGGGTAGAGTTGAAGGAAGAAGACGAAGAAGAAGAAGTAGAAGTAGTCGAAGAATGGAATTAGTTGCAACACGAACACATTCTTTCACCTCCAACAACTTTATTCAAACTAATAGTTCATTAAATTTGTGTGACCTTTTTTTTTGGTTAATTTTTAATCCTACGCTTCTCAGCAAGTCTCCGCCCCGCCATCTTGTGACTCTAAGACTATCCTTATGCTTGTGTATTTTCATTTATGTTTTTAATTATTTCATTTTCTCTGCTTCATCACTCTTCACTTACCTCGTATACATCTCCTTTGCATGTTGTTGTTAATACCTTTCTCTCTGTCTCTCTGTCTCTCTTTCTCTATCTTATTTCACCAAAATTACGGAAATGTTAAAGAATATGCCTGAATACGTTCAAATTGATCCTGAATCTTATGAAAACACGCCACCTCCTTATATGGATCCTGGTAATAGCATTGCAAAGAAGAAGAGCATCATCGCAGGTACAGATGGTTTAGACAGTCGATCACCGAAAGTTCTGTAATTCATTTTATTTGAAGCGAAGAAGAGTATTGCCGGCCCTGCGCCAAAGAAGTGCTCACACTGCGGATTTCATCCAGAATTAGGAGGTGAAGCTCGTGAGTTCCTCCATCATTCATCTAGTTGTTTCCCTCTTTTCCTGTTTTGCAATCTATTTTATATCTATTTGGCTGTCATTTCAAGCTGATAAAATATTAAAAGTTTGCAGACATTTGGCCAGCTCCACGTCCAATTGACCATATTCGACCTGATCACAGATCTTTCATCGGCTATGTCGTGCTCATTGCCGTCGTCATTTTCTTATTATTCGCTGCATGTAAATATCTTCCATGAGAAGGAAGAGCCTTCCGATCAACACCTGTATATTTCGATGATTCCAAATAACTTTCCATATTTTAAATAAAAGGATTTCTTTTATTTCTCAGCATTATTTGTTTCTTGACAAAGAGAGAGAGAGAGTGCGAGACAGCATAGTGGAACACATAAAGAGAACGAGTGAAAGAAGGGTAGTGAGAACACAGGAAGCAAGAGGGACTTGTACTTTTGTTGACAAAAATGTTCGGAAAATACGAAAAGTCTTCCTCTCTGTCTCTCTTATAGTCGGTCCAAGAGCCGTTTTATCCAAACTATCACACTAAAGACATGTTTATAATAATTTATAATCTCTATTAAGAGCTTTGGAATGAAATGATAACAGGCATGTAAAACAATCGAAAAAAGCATAAGAAATAGGAAATTATATTATATTTATATGACCTTATGACCTTTTTATTAGATGGGAGGAATGAAGATTTGGTTAGGACTATGACTACAAGCGGTTAAGCAAAGAGTTAATTATTAGATTTTCTACTTTCTTCCAATAAGTTCGAACAATGAGATTTCAATGAATTAGCAGCAGCACCAGAGAACATAAAGCAAAAACAGTTAAATATGAGATGAAAAAAAGGTTAAAAGCATGATATGTTTAGCTATAAGATGCTATTTACTTATACTCTAAGATATTAAGAGACCCGTGAAATGTACTCTTTCGGTACAAAAGCCCTTCCAATTCTTAATTCTTATTATATTATTCACGTGTTGCCCAACTTAATGGCACCCATGAAGGTCTAGTCTCGAACGCTTGTATGAGTGTTATGAGTCTGCTCAAACTTTCCTCAAGGTTACAATTGATAAGTCGAGCATCAAACAAATGACCATATTGCTCTTCTAGTTGTCTTCCTATAATCAGTCACGCGTATTTTATCTTTACTACCTCAGCTACTTACCTGACTCGACAATTTGCTCTATTTCCGAGTCACTGAATCCTCTGCCTATTGTACTTGTGCCGGCCGATGCCATGGAACCGGCACGAGATGTCCTTGCTCGGAACGCAGATCTTGTTTCCTGAAATAGATCAATTCACTTCTGACTTTGATAGAGAAATAAGAATCTTGATTGATAGGTGAACGACATTATGTTTTCACATCAAACAAAAGCTTCACCTCCTTGTTGTTGTTCTCGAACAACCGATTCTCTCTTTGCTTCACATTCAACAGGACTTTCATTCAAATCTAACTAACCTTAAAAGTTGCTAAATCCGGCGGCTGAACAAAAATAATGATTGGTCGAAATTCCGGAGTTCGCAATTGACGTAAAGCCAATGGATGAGGGGTTAATAGAGGCGTTCCTTTATCTCGAGCCAATTCTACCGACGATAATGCCGTTCCATATAAGTTACCTTAGCAGGGAAACTAATTATTCGCATTCTTGCATATTTAAAACCTCTATATTCGCCGAATTCGAGCATATCACCCCGCGAAATCATAGATTCCATTTGCTCGCGTGGAACATAGTAATAATCAACTCCTTGTTTCTCACCTGGCCTGAAAATATTTTTTTAATGAGGAAGTGGAAGATTAAATCAGACCGAGGTGAACGACTCGTATGAGGGATTGTGGTGGAGAACCTTTCAGGGAACAACATTAACAATCTCCTTTTCAATTCATTCCTGAAAAAATATGTTTTTGTTTAAAAATGAAGTAGAACTGCAAGAACCTTCCGACTCCTGGTGGTCCAATCAGAATGATGGGCCTGATAATGCCTGGCCTAGCTCGAAAACGACAAACAGATTCATAGACTAATTCCTCCTAAACATGTTAATTGCAATTCTGCTTCAGAAATTACAGGAAATTACTTCTGGTGCTGTTGTTCTGGATCTTTCATTTGTTTTCGGTCCTTTGCTGTCTCTATCGCGTTCCAACATTTTAAGCCGATGTTGCAAGAACTCTGATGGTATCAATCCAACACGATGACAATTTGCTGTAAAAGGCTTATTAAGGAAAATTATAAATGTAGTAATGAAACGGGGGCAATTAAAACGAGGCGTCAAAGCTCAGCGCGCCACCCACGATTTCCCAAATTAGGTGTTTATAGTAAACTTACATTTAACTCCCTCATTACCAGCTAGAGAACTATTGCCTATACATCTAGCCTGAAATAGATTGTGATTACTCATCTCAACTCCAAAATAACAATCATCATACCTGCCACCAGTGAGTGTCAGTACAAACTAAAAGTTCTAGAATGTCCCCCTTCTTGAAACTTAACGAAGTTTCAGGACAAGGCTGTCTCGAATCATTCGAACCATTATAATCAAACTGAAAGAAGAATATGAAAATGCTAATCCCTATTCTCGATTAAGAGAGCTGTTTATTTTGATTTTACTTGCTCGGAAACGATTCTCCGGAGACAACAATTACACTTCGCCTTTCTTACACATCTTCCTTCACTAGGAGGATAAAGCAAAAGTTGCAACGAAACATGTAGGAAGGCATCAAATTTCAGTGAAAAAAAAGTAATTCCAGTTGGACTTTAGAAGAACGTACTTGAGCTCGTATGAAAAGCTGGGTGTGATCAGGGTCAGTAGAAGGAATTTCAGGAGGAATCAACTTGAATGTCACGCTTCCGTTCTCTGACTTGTTCAACAAACGAACAATATCGTCCGCTGACATTTCCGGAGAAACGGGATAACCATTAACTTCCAAAACACGATCTCCTTCCTTAAACAAACAAATTAATACCGTAGTCTAAAGACTGTTTACCTGAATACAAGCACTGCGATCGGCTACTCCTCCCGCAATAATTCGCGCAATTATAACTTTGCCATTTTCACAACGAATCGTGGCTCCTAAAGGTTCATCTTTTCTACTTATGCGAACCTTAACAGATTATGTGTGATTAGGAGATAAAGGCGATCAACTTACAATCTTAACAGCAATACCCTCATCTTCATCAACCTCAAATGGGACTGATGGTAGTTGAGGCAAATACCGACATGAGGAGATATCTTCAGTAGCCATCAGTACACCCTGTATGAGTAAGAGTATACAATAAGATTGAAAATTGTGGGACTTACTCGGACATGAGGACGTCTAAGCAGAGTTATTAGCTGTTGAACTGCTGCAGATTTGCCCCCTGAGGATTCCCAATCTGCGATGAAGCCATCACACCACGCTAAAGTGTCTGCAGCTCTAAAACATTCAAACAAAAATAAGAAAACAGAATCATAAATGGTCGCTTACGAAGGTTCTGGTCGTAAATCCCCACTCGAAACAACGTCAAATAAATTCTGAACAGTGTTTAGACCATCTTCGCTGAGAGTTATGTTATCATGACTTTCTTTACGTTCAATGATGCTTTCTAAAATGCTCTCGAAGGCTGGAATAAACTCATCCGCCGTTCGAATCGGGCCCAGACTCATCATCTCATTATACTGAAACAGTATGTATTATATATCTTCTGAATTTACCCTAAACATAAGCCAAATTTGAATAAAAGAAATAAACAGTTGAGACTGACGCGTGACGCTTATAATATTAAAGGATTACTGTAGTAATTAGAAGGGAAGACAATGTGCCAAATGGTGTTTACCGTAACCCGAAAATCAAAGACGTTTCTTTTAAATCTCAGATAAGAGATTGGAAAGGAGAAAAGAAAGGAAAAGCAAAAACAATGTTCATACACTTAGTTCTTTTGTTTGAAGGAAAAAAAATGTTTTTTGAAATCGGATATTGAGACTTACCATTTCTTATTTCATTTAAAATGTTCAAAACAAAGGAAAAGTCACATGTAAACGGTAAACGGTGTTCCTATGATTATCCCGCCCTTGTTGGCCTACTTGTTCATAATGTAATGTTATAACCTATGGATAAACTCCCACTAGAAGAATCATACTTAAGGACTTCCACATTGGTGTTATAGCATTGAGTACGGTGATGAATTACTAGTTAGTTAGTCCCAGTACTACCACTATTGCTTTATGTCTTCGATACTAGTATATTCATTATTTTAGTTCCGTTTCATACTTTGTTTTTAATAAAAATTTCCTTATTTGCAAATGTAAATATGTGATGAACAGAAAAAAAATATTCTTTTTAAGATCAATCATCTGTTTATTTCATAAGCGAAATATCAATATGGCCATGGGCAATATTATGTTTTTTGTTTATTTTGGGTCAAATTATTTGCAGATTAGTAGTACGTTCACAAACAATTTTTGAAATATAATGAACAAATTATCAAAAAGTGATTGCAAGCAAGTTGAAAAACAAATTCAAACATGGACATCTCACATATCACACAGAGATACACACTCCCGTCTACATCAACAGCTAGTATATAACGTTTTCAAATGTTTTCACGTGTACTTATCCACGTGAATAATGTGATTTGCATATGTTAGACATGAGATGTACACAACTACTTAATTTTCATTTCAACTGTGATAGCTGTCACTAAACGGTTGGTTCTGCTGTGTTTGTGTTTTTTTTTAAATTCACATCAAACTACATACAAACACACACACACACTCACGCACACACACAATATGTGCATGCACGTTATTTTCATTCGAAGTAAGTCAAATACGGCATTGTTATATATCCCCTTCTCTGAGCAGAATAGGAGAGATTGGGAGCCAACATATGTGGTCATGAAAAAAAAATAAAGAAATTTGATATAATAATGACTATGAAAGTATGAAAATTGGTGTCAAGATTGGAATTTCAAGACAGATTTCGTTTCAATGACATCATCTAGATTAAGATGAAGCATATGGTCACGAAAGATAAATCAATAGAAACATATGTAAAAGAAGCTTTTCTAAGCTTTCTTAGGGCTCATTTTACATTTTTTTTCATTGTCTTTCCCAAAGAAAGTTTTAAGAACAAAGAGAGCAAAAAAAAAAAAGTCTGAAGATATAATATAAATGTTTATCTAATTATAACCATATAACACAAACCCGTAATGTTGAAGATACAACGAGAGAGAGAGAGAGAGAGAGAAGAGAGAGAGAGACTTAGAGAGAGAATTTTAATATTTTAATTTTTGTTGAAGAAATCAGTTGGCAAGTTTTCAATCAATAATCGTGAAAGTTTAATAGGCACATCCTCTTGATAATTCTCTTAAAAGCTGTTCGGAAGTCTTGGGAGAAAACGGTGTAGATGACTGGATTCAGAGCTGAATTCAAATATCCTGAAAAATGAAAAAATAAATTAAATTCAACAATGGTGCTTCATCTTCTTATTCTCTAACGTTTGATGAATGAACTCTTTCTACACTTGCAAACTCTAGACATTTAGAGAGATGAAAGATAATCATATCAGTGGTTAGAGTTTCTGAAGAGTTCACTTACCCAGCCAAGCTGTAACCATTTCAACTGCCGGAGGAATATTGCATCCGCAGATTGGACGATACAACGAGACAAGGAAAAACGGTGTCCAACAAGCCACAAAAGTACCTGAAACATTCAAATAAGCATCTGATTTTGAGAATAATTTTATTCTTTTTTTTCCAGTTCCTTCTCTCCCTCTCCCTTCCTTTTTGACCCGACAAATGTTATTTCAAACAATAGTCGGAACTTTCATTCTGATTATTTCATGAGCGGGTTAATGATGGAGGAGAATTAAACTGCTTTAGAAACCTCATATTTTATTTTAAAAAAAACAAAAATTACCTGTAATTATGGCTAATGTTCGCCAGGCTTTTCGTTCTCGTTTGGTTTCTGCACTTTCCTTTGGCCTTCGTTTACGTTTCGGCATCAATCCCATGGCTTTTTGTTTAGCCGATTGAGAACTTGCAGCTTAAAAATATAAATTTGAATTTAAAGAAAAGTTTAACAGAATAAACCTTGTGTGACATCCAGCTTTGTTTCTTGCGTCTGCACTGTCCTCTCTTCTTCTGACGTCGATGACGATGATTCTGGTCGATTCACCTGGAATATCGGGGCATATAAGTAATTCATTCACATACACATCATCCATACCTTAACCGATCCATTTTTGATTTCTGAATTTGAATTTCTATCAATGTCAGAGATAACAACAGCTGGCGGAAGAGGAATCTGAAGTGAATGTTCATGTTGATCAGTCTGATTACTGACTAATATGTTACTTTTTTATTCTTTTTTATAATTAATGGAGCTTTCTTCTCATCAATAACATCTGGAGGAGGTCTGATAACTGTTCGACGGTCCCGTTCACGCTTAAATCGCTTCTTGGCAGCTCTCATTATCTTCCAATAAACACAAACAATGGCGATCAATGGTATATAGAAGGCGGTAGCCGTAGAGAAAACCTTCAAAAAGCAATAACATAACTGTTGTTCAATTCATAGTTGAATTAACAAAGAAATATATATTTATGTATCATGAACTATGTTCGTTCCATCTCCAATGATATCATTCATGATCTTTATTCTTAAGCTTACAAAATAGTTTTTGCAAAGATTGATGATGACCTCATCAGATATTCTACGTTTCTTTCCCTTCCTTCACTTTTTCTTTCCCTCTCTCTCTCTCTTTACCCCTTTCTCTCTCTATCTGCGTGCCAAAAACTAAAGTCATCATCCTATTTCGGAGACACTAATTCGAATTAACTATATATAGTTATGCGGATAAATATGATAACGAAAAACATACTTGGTAACTGATTTGTTGACTGATCAAACATCTGTGTTCTATGTTTACACGATCATCGAAGCCGTCATCCTGAAAATATGCCTTTCATATCCGGATGAATCAAAAAACGAAATTTTCCTTTTGCATCATCTTCACGTTCTCTTTCTCTCTTCCTCTCTCTCTTATCCTCTTACTTCCTCTAGATCTACTTGAGACAGATCAAAAAGTGAGGTTTATTTTCGTTATTCAAATATAAAATATCTTAAATATGTAAATGGTCAAAAATCTTCCTGAAAACTTACTTTCCAACCTGCAAATGGAGCTAAACTGATGAGCAATGACGTCATCCAAATGCAAGCGAGCATAAGTATGACTCGACGTGGAGTTCGATTTTGGACATACGAAATATCGGTGATGGACCAATATCTTAAATAATTCAATGATTCTAAGTATTTTGCTAATTCCTAGCAACAAAGTAATATTTCCCTGTATTCTCGAAAGACACACGAACCCTCACGTATGAATGTGTGGTAGTGCGTGTATGCGTGTATGTGTGTGTGTGTGTGTATGCGAATCAGGAAGGAGACGTTCGCTTATGTCCACACAGGTGATTTTCAAAATGTAAATGATACCATATGCTTACCGATCTAAGGCAATCGCAACTAGATGTAGTATGGATGCCGTACAAACGAGAACATCAACGGAAATCCAAAAATCACATAATGCAACGCCTAATCTCCAAGCTCCAGTGACAGTCGACCAGGCTCCAAGTGGTGTAACGATAATTCCAACCTGAAATTTGTAAAAATAAATCTTTTTCATCTGAGCAGTTTAACATTTTCAACATAAACATTTCTATTTTTGATATGACAAAGAAAAAAAAATTTTTTTTTAGAGGGGATATTCTTCTTCCCTGTCTGTCTGTCTGGACTCCCCCTCTCACACCAGCCCTTCCCTCCCAACAACCAACTTCATCGGCGATGTTTAAATGCCCTGAAGCAATTTTGTTCCCAGAATACCATGAAAAGTATTTAATACAATCTCACGAGACTTTTTTCATCTTCAATCGTTTGAATAAAAAAAGATGAAGAAGTAGGAAGACATGTTGAAGTTTATGCTTCAACATATCGTTCGAAAGAGCATTTCATGTCTTTGTCGTCGTCGTCACTTTCCAAAGTCACTTCTAAGGCAGCAAAAAATGAAAATAAATTTTATTTTTATCCACTCAAATATGACAATTTCAGTTTATACAATTCAGATTTTTTTGTTTCCTCCTCTTACATGTGATTTTTGATGATTGCAAAAGTACTTTGGCGGTTTTTTTTGTTTAAATTGAGGTGGACATTGAGTGTGCCTGAGGGGATTACAGATGGACACGAGACGCTTCTGTCATATGAAACTTCTTTCGTGGTTTTTTTTCTCATTCCGTTCAAATATGGAAATCTCTTATGAGCTGTCGCTATTCCGATATGCTGCTGCAGATCTGATGTCCTGCATGCAGCTGAAGAAACGTTTCTTTTTGTTTTCTCACTCTTTCATATTGGGTAAAGAATGATCAAGTAATAGCATTAGAAGGATGAAGCTGTAGTTGGAGCAGAGATGAAAGTTCAAAAATAAAAACTTGATTTCTCATTCTATTTCACATTTTTTTTCTCTTGTGTGTTCCATTTGTGGACATGAAGCTCAAAATGTGGAGAGATGAACTGAGGCAGAGAGAGAGAGAAATCCTTTGTTAAGCAGATGATTTCTTTTCTCTTTTTTTTTTTGAAGCTTTTTCTCGTCAACTTCTTACATCAGACTGCTGCTTAACGTTTCGTCGATTCAATTGGAGAGGACGAATAGAAACGAAGTTAAGAAGTTGCAGAGATTATAAAGAGCGGGATAAAGAGAGATTGTGATAGGGACAGAGATAGAGAGAGAGAGATAGATAGAGATAGAGAGAGAGAGACTGGGAGGTTTCTAATTTGCTTTTCTCAACAATTTTGTTAACAAAATGATATTTCAATAATAACTTTTCTCTTTCTATTAAAAAATCATTTTTATTTGCCAATGTTCAAGTAGTTTTTAAGACGTCAATCGCTTTATTTCTGATCCAGGAAGAAGCATTTATGCTTTCAAAATTTTTATTTAATTCATTCAATCTATGAATAGATTGCAAATTAGGAAGAGAATCAGATAGAGGCGACGAACTTAGAGATAGAGAGATTGAGAGATGACAGACAGACAGACCGACCGAGGTGCAACTGAAGAAGAGCTATGTAAAGCTGTTGCAAAGGAAACTTCACAGAGAGACAATTCAGATGAACAATACTTCATTCTTGATGCCTTTTGCCCCCACACACATACACACAGACGCACAAGAAGCTGACCATTATATTTGTGAAAGTTCAAGTTTCTTCTTACAAAACAAGTAAGGAAGTGAGGGGTGGAATGACCGTTCATTTGATGCGCTCTTATGTGTATCCTCTCTTCTGTTGTTCTTTCTCTCTCTCTGTCTGGTCTATCCCACATACAGCAGCTACAACATTCTCTTTTCATGTATACACGAGAAAGGAGATGGAAATAAGCCTGAGCTTACATGGAAAAAAACTGATGATGGAAAGGCTCTTACTTTATTCTTCAATAACCTTTAACATTGCGAGTCAAATGATTTCGAGAGAGAGAGAGAGAGAGTGGGAGAGAGAGCAAGAGCTAAAGCTTTGAATGAAACATGGTAAAAGCTTCACGCAATGGATAGCTTTGGCATTTACGAAGATGCAAGATGAAAAAGGTTTTTTTTTATTTTATTTTCATTTCATTGTATGAATTGAAAACGTGTCACCATGCAGTTTATCTTTTCTTTGATAAAGAGAAGAGTTGCGGTGGTAGGGAAAAAGAGAAAGAAAGAGAGAGAGAGAGAGAAGGTGGGAGAGTGATTGAGTGAGTGAGTGAGAAGGATGTAATTTACATATCTTTACCCCCAGCTTTTACCATTTGAGTTCTTCTTCCCCCCCACCTCTCTCCTCCCCTCCCTCATACGGATTTCATCAATTTTTCATAACAAACAACAATTTCAATTCCTAATTAGAATATGAAATTAGTTTGACTTTTCATTTAAAGAACTCATTTTTATCTTCCGCAAATTAAGTGAGGGCAGGAAAGGCGAGTCTCGCACAAAAAAATGAAAAGAAGAAGCTGACTGCATAAAGTAAATCAATCAGGTGCTATGGTCAGCTGCAAATGCATTCCCTCTTTTTACTGCAAACTGCTTCAAGAGTGGAAGGAAGGGTGAGGAGAAGAGTATAATCCTGGATGTGTTTTTGGCATAATTCCAACGGCGAAGGAGAAGTAGATGATGATGAAGACGACGAAGGCGACGAAAGAAGATGAAGAGGAGCCACCATCAGAAAAAAAAGGAAAAAAAAGGAGAGAAAAGTTTGCTAACATTTTTCTCCAGCAAAATGAAACTTCCTGTTTATTCATTTGTGTAGCTGTTAACTATACGGTATAGTTAGCAATTGTCTTTTCTTTTCAAGTTCCTTCTCGTCGCCATTATGACGCACGAGAGAAGTTCTTGTTGGAATTCCCTGGAGGAAGATTGTTTTACACCTCGTCTTCATTCATTTCATTACAGGAGGAAATTTGAAGACAAATTATTCTTCTTGCAGCCATTCTATTCTCTATCAATCTTCATTGCTCTTTCTCTATCTCATCCTCTCTCTCTATTATTCTCTCCCTCTCACAATCTTACCACCTCTGTCTCATCTTCCCTTTTTTGTATGAAAATAAAAATAATTTTTATGGATCTAAGATTATATTGACGTCATCACGTTTGGTTGAACAAGAATTTGAGTTTGAGATGTCCAGATTTCCGTAGATGATGATGCCGAGAAACGAAATTATTTTTTCCAGTCAAAAGTTTTCAAAAAGCTTATTTGATTCGGCAAATCAAAAAAATAATAATTTTTTCTTTTCGATTTTCTGATTCATTCTTCAGAGAGATCTCGTGCAGATGAAGGAATAAAGGATTCTTGATATCTGAACATGTATGTCAGCGATGCAAATTCCTTTGTCTACTGGTCAGCTCTTTTTTGATTCTTAAACCTTAGAGTTAGAGAGAGAGATAGATAGAGAGTTGTATCCTGTGGTAATGATGACAACGACGACTACGACGATGATGATGATGATGATGGTGGGGTTGGTGAGGCGGTGGTGGTTGTGTGCCAATTGTCGACATGGCAATGAGCAGAATGATGATGTGACAAAGCACTTGCAATAAAGTTGGGCAAAATAGGCTTATAAAAGCTCGAAAAATGACAAAGATGGCCTCGTTGAAGACACATTGAAACATTTTGTCCTTCGTTAAGCTTTTTCCTCTCTCTCTCTATCTCACTGTGTCTGAACTCTTGATCTCATTGTTAATCTTTCTCTCTATGGAACTTTTTTTTTCAATCCTCTTCTTTCACTGTCTGTCCGTATCTGCATCTCTCTATCTCTCCCTCTACTCCCCCTCTATCTCTCTTTTTATTTTCTTTTTCAAAGTTAGTTTCATTAAAATTGAAAAATGAATAGAAAAAGTAGACATTAATGTCCTCATTATCAGACATTCGACCAGAATCATAAATCAAATGAATTAAAATGAAATGAGCCGCCGTCAATTGGACAGTCTCCTAGAGCAACACAGAACTATAAAACCTCCAAAAAAAAAAGAAAAAGAAAGTCAGAAACTATTAAGCAAATCAAAATTGAATGGCATAATGTATGAGAAGCTTCAATCATTTTTACTTTATTTTCAGTCACATCATCTTCATCATCATCGTTACCATCAGCATATCGCATCATCGTTACTCCCTCAGCTCGTTTTCAAACTTTTTTTCTCCTTCCCACTCCCTGCTTCTTGCAGTTCGTCATGGAAGTTTCTTTAAGAGTGAAATAGAGAGAGAGAGAGAGATAGAGAGAAAGAGGGGGAGAGATTAAAGAAAATAAATAAATATTTTCAGGAATTATTCAAGTTCGACTGAGCGATTATTCTTTTTTTCTTTTTTTTTGGGTCTGTGTTTGTTCATTTTTCAAATAAAACGCGGATCACAGACAGTCAAAAGCATTATTCTATGGCAAATGACGTCATCAGATCATCTCATCATCTTTTGGACATCGTCACCGTCATCTATCCCCCCCCCCCTTCATCTGAATCTTTCACAATTCTTTTATATCTAATTTGAAATATCTACGTACATTAATAGAATTATGAGAAGCTTTGTGCGCTGGGTGGAAGGTTGCAAAAGAGAAAAAGAGAATCCGAGAAATAGAATAGATGAGGAAGAGATGGGGATAAAGCCTAAGAGGGAATAGAACATGAGTCAGATAGTGAGGGAGGAAAAGAAACTTCCAAAAAGCTTTTTCAACATTTTTTTTCTCGTTTCGTGTCCCGTGCTGGACAATCGAAAAAGATCCCGCTGAGTAGTCGTTCGACTTCTTCCTTGTCGGTGGATGAAGCATAGACACATACATACTAACACACACATACACACTAACATACACATACACATACACACAATCTGCCATTAGCTTCATCCGCATAGGCTTTTCAGAAATAATTTTTTTTCCTTACAAAGCTTCAATTGAATTAATTTAATTAAGGATAAAAAACACATTCATAAGAACTAGTTAAGCTTAAAGGTAAAATATATTTACAAAGAGAACCCAACCAGTCAACATTACTTTTCGTTATTTTTTTTGTTCAGAAATTCATTTGAGAGAAAGGTTTGACTCTCTATGTACTCTCATTTTACCTTTCTATTTCTCTTACTAGCCTACACTCATGCGGAGTCTAAAAGACGAAGAAATAATATTTTTTTTCCTTTCTCATGAAAAGCCAATCACTTAAATGTTGTTTGAATACAAAAGACAATTCTTCCACATCATGAAAGCTTGTTTTCTTTTCCACAAATTTGCATATCCAGCCCCCCCCCCCACGTATTTCACGTCAACCACGTGATATCACGTGAAATGTTGGCAGAAGCTCATTTCACGCTTGAAGCAGTTAGCAGAACGGTTACATCCTCATCTCCACCCTCTTTCCGAATTTCCTCTTTTTATCCTCCCACTTCATCTCTCCATTTCTTTCTTTAATCTTTCCTAGTTCTTCCTCCTTTCAGCTTTCCTTTTTCTCATATCTTTCTCTCGTACTCTGTATCTCTACCCCCTCGCATCTCTTTTTTTTCATTTACTTTATTTGCAAATTTGCCAACCATGACCATCTCAGCTTTTCCTTGTACCTTCCGGAGCACAAAATTCTTGGAAATGGCTCAGAGATTTAGGCGAAAGCAGAAGAAGAATGAAAATCCTCTGCTAATCCATTCCTCTCTCTCATCAAAAGTCACAAAAAAGGGAGTAAAATTTGAAAAAAAAAATATTTCTCTGATTTTTTTCTGTTTGCTGGGAATCACAAAGAGTAGAGGATGAAGAGGAAGGAGATAAAGAAAATTGTTGGTTGGATGTTTAAAAAAAGGATTCAAATGAATATTTCAAGAAATATTTAATGAAATTATAAGAATTAACAGTGAGTAATGTGTGAAAGCTGCAACAAACGAGATCATGATGACTCAAAATAGAGGAGACAAAGCTGAAGAAGGATGCAATCGCTGCCGCCGTCTACATTGACTTCATCGTCGGCGCCGCAGAAGCGGGTCCATCGTGTTCGTCGTTTATTGAGAATCCAAAGAACAAAATAAATAAATTATCGAAACACGAAAAATGTCGGTCGTTTCGATATGGAAAAAGCTTTAAAAGGCAGCGCTTTAGAGTAGAATGAAGAAGGAGATGAGAAAAATATTTTTTTTTTGTTTTTTTACCGGCTAAGCCATTGTGAAGCTTGTCTGTTATGGATTTCTGTCTATCTAATGATTGAAACGTACGTGAGTCGCGTGTAAAAGGTTAAGATAGTGATGATAGTGTGTTTGTGTGAGAGATAGTGAGAGAGAGAGAGAGCAGTATGAGGAGGGCATTGTTTAGAAGAATGAAAGATAGCCAGACAAACAATAATCAGATTATAACCGTATATAGGAGAAAAGAAAAATAAAGATAATTGTAAAATTGAAAACTTACAATGAGATCAGCAACAGCTAATGAGAATATCAGATAGTATTGTGGTCGATTCCTTAAATCTCTTTCACAGCAAATGGCAAGAAGGACGAACACATTGCCAATTACACATGACAGTATTAGAAGTGATAATACAGCTGCTAATACAACAGTTTCTAATAATGGACGTGGGATATTATTAAATGATGAATCATTTATAATATTATTTAAATGTATATCATCATCTTCATCATCATCAATAGAAGTATCATGATGATGATGAGGTGGCTTTTGTTGTTGTTGATGTTGTTGTTGTTGTTGTTGAAAGAGATGAAGATGTGGAGTTGATGATGTTAATATAGGTGATGGACCAAATTGATCTGAATCTGATGTAAGCAGAACATCTTCTCCATCCAATGAATAGACTGTGTTAGTGAATAAACATAGAATAATCAGAAATCTGAATGATCTTCTTAATGTTCCGCCAATCATTCCTACTATAAGTTGTTAATCATCTGAAATCAAGAAAGCATTAGAAGACAGTTGATTCATGATATCACGAGAGAGTAAGAGATCAACAGTAACTTGAAGAGAGATAAGACGAAATTTAAATTTTAAACGAACACATCTTGAAAAGCATATACGACAGTCAGAAAAAATAATAATAATAACATGAAGTATGACGAACGATGAAACGAACTTCAAATGCTCAAAAAGGTTCGTACAACATTCAGTGTCAAACTCCGCCCTCCGCGTTTTCACTTGCCTGCCCCTGGGCGTCTCTAGCTTCTACTAAGCTCCGCCCACATTTCCGCTTTTGCACTTGATCATTTGGTAACATAAAAGGAGAACATAACGGAAATATACAAATTCACTCAATGTTATCTAATTCATGCAATTATTTCTAATATAACGTGAGGAAATAAAAAAAATAATATAAATTCAGCGTCAGCATCACCATCTTCGAGCAAAGCAATTAGCAATTTTTATGGAAATTTTTCTATTTATTTTATTTTTTTTTTCTATTTTTACTTCAATTTTTGAGACAATATTCTTCATCTCATCCATTTGCATCCATACATACATAGCATGAGCTACAGAAAGGCGATTCATTTGCATAAGTGTATGGGAGTTGGATCATATTTGGAGGCTGACGTGTGTGGCTCTCTCATTTCTAATTTTGAGCCGGACAATGGGGTGCGAGAGGACCTCTTGAAAGCCATCCCCCAAAAACGTCTGAAGAAATGAGCTGAACAGTAAATTTATGTAAATTACAAAAATAATTGGAATAGAAAGAGGGAAGTAAAATATAAAGGAAGAGAGAGGAAGATATAAGAGAGGGAGAGATAGAGAGAGAGAGATGAAGGAAGGAGACAGTACCATCATCATCACAAATGCCATTTCAACACCGTTTTCTGTCGTTTTTGTGGACAGGAAAAAAGAATTTTTTTCTTTTTGTTGTTTTTAAGGAAGAAAAGTCAATTAAAATGAATTACAGTATCTGACAAACAGGAAACTTTTTCTTTTCAAGAACAAATTTTATTTCTTTTTCTTTTCATATAAATGTATAGTAAGAGAAAAATAAAAAAAAAACAAAGACAACACTCACCCTCTCAGACTCATATACTCACAGAGAGAGAGATAGGAGGGAGGGAAGGAGGGAAAGAGGGAGTGAGAAGGAGAATGAAAGCTACCGACTACTACCACTACCACTACCACCACCACGCCCTACAGCCTTCACCAGAGGCGCACCACTACAACCACTATCAAAACTACCGCCCCACATACACATGTACACTCAACACAGACGCATTGCACGGCACAAAAAAATAATATAAATAAAGAGAATTAAATGATTTACTATTAATTATCCATTAGGATTTCCTCTTTTTTTTCCTTTTGTTTTCTTTTACACACACACACACACACATATATTCTCATAAAAAAAATATTGTTTAGACAACGAAAAATGGTCGAGCAGGCTTTTACTTAAAGCTGGAAATGCAAAAACGAGAGAAAGAACCACCCCTCCACCTATCTAGTCCTCCCCCCACTCTTCTACTTCCTACTTTCACTCTCTTTCTTGCTCTTTCTCTCTTTATAACTCTTTAGCAGCATGTTCATTCTATCCCTTCACCCATCTCTCCCTCTCTATTTCTCTTCATCTATCTTTATATCTTTCTTTCTCTCTCTCTTAATCTCATACTGTAAAAACCTTTTAATTCAATTTGAGAAGTCTGATAAGAACACTCTTGAGAAATAAGAAAACATCGAAGTTTAACGAGACACAACCGCTTGAAAAAGCCAATTTTAACAAAAATTTTTTCTTCGAATCACATGTATGGCCGGCCAGCTGTCATTGTGTGTTTCTAATTATATTTAAATATCTTCGAACTGCCGCCCCTAAAGGATCAGAAAGTTTAATTTTTATTTTCTTCCTTCTCTCTCAATAATTCTGCCTCCCTCTCTATCATTGCTCTCTAACTCTCTCTCTATCTCTCTATCTCTCTCTCTCTCTCTTCCTATATCCATATCTCTCTATAATGATAAAAAAAAGGAGAACACACTTATATGGACACAGACACACATATTGTTATAAATAAACAGAATAATTCATTATCAGCTGTTCTTGAAGCTGATTTGCATTCTCCAAACATCTCTCAGACAGATTTCCTTTTCTTTGGAGAAGACAAAAACGATAAAGGAAAGTGTGTGCAAAGAAGAATAGAAAAATAATATTTTTTAAAAATTATGATTTTTAATCCGATTTCAGTGGAACCAGATAAGTGTAGGAGTATATGCGATGCGCTAATATGTGGAAAATTCAAATTTGACGCGTTCACGTGATACACGTTACACGTCATTTTCAGTTAATTGGAACAGATGAACGGTTGTGAGTTTCAAATGAAAATGAATGATTGAAAAGATGAATGAATGCATATGTGGTGTGTATATGTGTGTGTGTATGTGTGTGATTGAGAGAGAAAGAGAGTGGAGGTGAAAGAGAGGGGGATGAATTTGTTTTATTTATTTAAAATATCAAAAATGAAGATGTAATATATATTTTGTTGATTTGAAAACAACAATCACATAGACAGTATAGTTGATGGAGAGGTATCAGAAGGTGAGTTAGAGAGAGAGAGTGAGGGTAAGGATGGAAACGAAAGACGAAGAAGAGAGGACAGGAAGGAGATGGGCTAAAGGTAAGAAGAGAGATTTAAGGAAGTAAAATGTGATGAATCTCAAGTAATGTGAGAGTGGTTGATGTTTCATGTAATAATCAAATGCATTTGTGAGAAAAAATGTTTTTTGTTGCTGGCCAATTCAAGAAGTTAATTTGGAAGAAGATGTGGTTAAAGAGAAATTGATAGAGAGAGAGAGAGAGAGATGTAGAGAGAGCTGAGAAGACAGAGGAAGATGATCAACCAAAAAAAACTTTTTTTTTGTGGTGTTGGTGGCGATCTCCTGTTTTAAATGCAATATTAGCCTTAGGGAACATTCAAATTGGAATTTAAGTTTATAAGCCATTGATCAGAGATTAACCTTCGTCCATACAATTCTTAAGGTTACAATACGAGCGCTGATCTCAAGAATTAATGTGATCAGCTGGGGAACACGGAAACTTTGCAAAAAAAAAAAAGAATTTCTTGTCTCAATTCCTATACCAAGTCAGAAGTAAAGAAAGAGCATGAGATAGGTAGAGAGTAATAGTAAGTGAGAGATAGAGAGATAGATATACAGAGAGAGAAAAGGGAAAGAGCATTGAAGAAATGATTTCAATCAAAACAAAAAACTTTTCTTCATCTATAGCTTTAATAGATTGGATAAGTTGGAACATAAAACTTCAATGAGAAGAGATAATCAAATTTTGAAGTTAAGAGAGAGAGAAAGAGAGAATGAGAGGATTGGTATTAAGAGAGAAATGGATATATGTATTTTGCACGGAAGAAGTAGAAGAGATTCTTGACTGAAACAGAGAGAAAAATAAAGAGCATGGGAGAGATTGAAAGATTGAAAGAAGGTTCATCATGAGAGAGAAAGAGAGAGCAAGAAATTTGAATAAAAAAAATTAAAAACCTCGCAAGGAATAGAGAGATGTAAAGAGTGAGCAAGTATGAGTGTGTTAAGTAGATGAGTATGAGATGATGTAAGGCATTCAGGCTTACATGGGTCAACCCGTAGCTGATACGCCAATTCAAAACATTATGAAATAATATTCACACATAAAGAGTTTGTAAGTGAGGGAAAAGATAAAATCAAAAATTTACTTATTCACTGTAAGGTGTGAGATTGTATGTTGATGAGAAGGAGGAGAAGGAAGAGCAGAAGGCGGTTAGTGATGAACTATTGTGATCTCTTCTAACAAATACAAAAACTTCACTATTTCATACTACGACGAAGCAAACAAAGAAATTTTTTAATTCGAATTGTTGATTAAAGGCTTAATGGCCTGAAGCAGCAATCTATTATTTTATAAGAAATGCCACAAGATACTAATTGTAGCGGAACAGAAAAAAAATAATTTTACTTCGTCTCCTTCATCTCATACATCGTCTATCAGCTCTCTATTTTCTTTTTTTTTTCAAAACTTTATTGTTAATAGTCAACGAGAGAAGTACATATGGAGAGGACAAGCAGCAGAAAAGAAGAAGAAAAAAATAATTTTTAATTAGATATTGCCACAACGCAATGTAAAAAGAGAGAGAGAGGAGAGAGAAAGGTAGTCAAGACATTGGTAGGATGAAGGGAGATATCAAGAAAGCAACTGCGATACATACACACGGACAGAAGAAGGTGAAGTCGGCTGTTTTACCTGCTCAACCAAATCAGCTCGTCCGATCAAAAAACAAAGAAAATAATGAGATTTGAGCAGAACAAAAATGAATTCTACAATCCTCCCCCCCCCCTACCTCTCTCTCTATCTCCTCCCTCCTTCCCTCTATCTCTCTTTGTGTGCGTCTCTCTTAAACATTCTCCTGTGCGATTTGCAGGAGTGGAAGAAGAAGAAAAAATAAAATAAAAAAATAAACTTTTGCGTTTAAAAATTTATGAAAAAAGAAAGAAAAAAGAAAACGAAAAACTAAAAGCTGAAAGGAGAAGAGACTGTGTTTTGGTATTGGCCAAATGGAAAAGATTGAAATGGAACATAAAAAATAAAAGAAAAAGCTTTAGTCGTAATGGAAATAAATATCTTTATGTTGTTAGTAAATGAGAATAAGCTTAGCTTCGAACGTGTTGAACCAAGCCTTGAGTTCGACGAAAATTGCTTGAGGGCAAGCCTTCCTCTTTCGGTTAACAGCCCGGATTTCAGATTTAGAGAGCCTGGCCAGCTGTCCCTCATTCCGGCATTTGCTCTTCTGGTTGTCTACTTCTTTTCGTTTTCTTTCTCACCCTCTATATACATCTCTTTCACTATCTCTCTCTCTCTTTTACTCCTTTCTTTACTCTTCTCTTTCTCATCTTCACTTATCCTCTTGTAGAAGCGAAGAATT